TTCTAACTTGTATCCCACCAATTCTAGCCCATATCTTGCTAGTTCTAATGATAGCCCTTATTTTTTTCTTGCTAAATTATTAATTATAGGTTCCACGTTAGTTCTAGCTCCTATCCCACCAGTTCTAACTTGTATCCCACCAGTTCTAGCCCACATCTTGCTAGTTTTAATGACAGCCCTTGATTTTTTTCATGCTAAATTGTTAATTATAGGTTCCACGTTAGTTCTAACTTATATCCCACCAGTTCTAACTTGTATCCCACCAGTTCTAGCCCACATCTTGCTAGTTCTAATGACAGCCCTTGTTTTTTTATGCTAAATTGTTAATTATAGGTTCCACGTTAGTTCTAACTCCTATCCCACCACTTCTAACTTGTATCTCACCAGTGCTAGCCCATATCTTGCTAGTTCTAATCAAAGCCCTTGTTTTTTTCATGCTAAGTTGTTAATTCTGGGTTCCACGTTAGTTCTATCTCACTAGTTCTAGCTTGTATCCCACCAGTTCTAACTTGTATCCCACCAGTTCCAGCCAACATCTTGCTAGTTCTAATGACAGCCCTTGTTTTTTTCTTGCTAAATTGTTAATTATAGGTTCCACGTTAGTTCTAACTTGTATCCCACCAGTTCTAACTTGTATCCCACCAGTTCTAGCCCACATCTTGCTAGTTCTAATGACAGCCCTTGTTTTTTTATGCTAAATTGTTAATTATAGGTTCCACGTTAGTTCTAACTCCTATCCCACCACTTCTAACTTGTATCTCACCAGTTCTAGCCCACATCTTGCTAGTTCTAATGACATCTCTTGTTTTTTTATTGCTAAGTTGTTATTTCTGTGTTCCTCGTTAGGTCTAGCTCCTATCCCACCATATCTAACTTGTATCCCACTAGTTCTAGCCCACATCTTGCTAGTTCTAATGACAGCTCTTATTTTTTTCATGCAAATTGTTAATTATAGGTTCCACGTTAGTTCTAACTCCTATCCCACCAGTTCTAACTTGTATCCCACCAGTTCTAGCCCACATCTTGCTAGTTCTAACGACAGCCCTTGTTTTTTTATGCTAAATTGTTATTTCTGGGTTCCACGTTAGTTCTAACTTGTATCCCACCAGTTCTAACTTGTATCCCACCAGTTCTAGCCCACATCTTGCTAGTTCTAATGACAGCCCTTGTTTTTTTCTTGCTAAATTGTTAATTATAGGTTTCACGTTAGTTCTAACTTGTATCCCATCAGTTCTAACTTGTATCCCACCAGTTCTAGCCTACATCTTGCTAAATCTAATGACAGTCCTTGTTTTTTTCATGCTAAGTTGTTAATTATAGGTTCCACGTTAGTTCTAACTTGTATCCCACCAGTTCTAACTTGTATCCCGCCAGTTCTAGCCCACATCTTGCTAGTTCTAATGACAGCCCTTGTTTTTTCATGCTAAGTTGTTATTTCTGGGTTCCACGTTAGTTCTAACTTGTATCCTACCAGTTCTAACTTGTATCCCACCAGTTCTAGCCCACATCTTGCTAGTTCTAATGACAGCCCTTGTTTTTTATGCTAAGTTGTTATTTCCTTGTTCCACGTTAGTTCTAACTTGTATCCCACTAGTTCTAACTTGTATACCACTAGTTCTAGCCCACATCTTGCTAGTTCTAATGACAGCCCTTGTTTTTTATGCTAAGAATTGTTATTTCTTGGTTCCACGTTAGTTCTAACTTGTATCCCACCAGTTCTAACTTGTATCCCACCAGTTCTAGCCCACATCTTGCTAGTTCTAATGACAGCCCTTGTTTTTTTATGCTAAATTGTTAATTATAGGTTCCACGTTAGTTCTAACTCCTATCCCACCACTTCTAACTTGTATCTCACCAGTGCTAGCCCATATCTTGCTAGTTTTATTGACATCTCTTGCTTTTTTATTGCTAAGTTGTTATTTCTGGGTTCCTCGTTAGTTCTAACTTATATCCCACCAGTTCTAACTTGTATCCCACCAGTTCTAGCCCACATCTTGCTAGTTCTAATGACAGCCCTTGTTTTTTTATGCTAAATTGTTAATTATAGGTTCCACGTTAGTTCTAACTCCTATCCCACCACTTCTAACTTGTATCTCACCAGTGCTAGCCCATATCTTGCTAGTTTTATTGACATCTCTTGCTTTTTTATTGCTAAGTTGTTATTTCTGGGTTCCTCGTTAGTTCTAGCTCCTATCCCACCATATCTAACTTGTATCCCACCAGTTCTAGCCCACATCTTGCTAGTTCTAATGACTGCCCTTGTTTTTTTCTTGCTAAATTATTAATTAAAGGTTCCACGTTAGTTCTAACTTGTATCCCACCAGTTCTAACTTGTATCCCACCAGTTCTAGCCCACATCTTGCTAGTTCTAATGACAGCCCTTGTTTTTTTATGCTAAATTGTTAATTATAGGTTCCACGTTAGTTCTAACTCCTATCCCACCACTTCTAACTTGTATCTCACCAGTTCTAGCCCACATCTTGCTAGTTCTAATGACATCTCTTGTTTTTTTATTGCTAAGTTGTTATTTCTGTGTTCCTCGTTAGGTCTAGCTCCTATCCCACCATATCTAACTTGTATCCCACTAGTTCTAGCCCACATCTTGCTAGTTCTAATGACAGCTCTTATTTTTTTCATGCAAAATTGTTATTTCTTGGTTCCACGTTAGTTCTAACTTGTATCCCACCAGTTCTAACTTGTATCCCACCAGTTCTAGCCTACATCTTGCTAGTTCTAATGACAGTCTTTGTTTTTTTCTTGCTAAATTATTAATTATAGGTTCCACGTTAGTTCTAGCTCTTATCCCACCAGTTCTAGCCCACATCTTGCTAGTTCTAATGACAGCCCTTGATTTTTTCATGCTAAATTGTTAATTATAGGTTCCACCTTAGTTCTAACTTGTATCCCACCAGTTCTAACATGTATCCCACTAGTTCTAGGCCACATCTTGCTAGTTCTAATGACAGCCCTTGTTTTTTTCATGCAAAATTGTTATTTCTTGGTTCCACGTTAGTTCTAACTTGTATCCCACCAGTTCTAACTTGTATCCCACCAGTTCTAGCCCACATCTTGCTAGTTCTAATGACAACCCTTATTTTTTCATGCTAAATTGTTAATTATAGGTTCCACGTTAGTTCTAACTCCTATCCCACCAGTTCTAACTTGTATCCCACCAGTTCTAGCCCACATCTTGCTAGTTCTAATGACATCTCTTATTTTTTTCATGCTAAGTTGTTATTTCTTGGTTCCTCGTTAGTTCTAGCTCCTATCCCACCATATCTAACTTGTATCCCACCAGTTCTAGCCCACATCTTGCTAGTTCTAATGACAGCCCTTGTTTTTTTCATGCTAAGTTGTTAATTCTGGGTTCCACGTTAGTTCTAGCCCACATCCCACCAGTTCTAACTTGTATCCCACCAGTTCTAGCCACACATCTTGCTCTTGTTTTTTTATGCTAAATTGTTAATTATAGGTTCCACGTTAGTTCTAACTCCTATCCCACCACTTCTAACTTGTATCTCACCAGTTCTAGCCCACATCTTGCTAGTTCTAATGACATCTCTTGTTTTTTTATTGCTAAGTTGTTATTTCTGGGTTCCTCGTTAGGTCTAGCTCCTATCCCACCATATCTAACTTGTATCCTACTAGTTCTAGTCCACATCTTGCTAGTTCTAATGACAGCTCTTGTTTTTTTCATGCAAAATTGTTATTTCTTGGTTCCACGTTAGTTCTAACTTGTATCCCACCAGTTCTAACTTGTATCCCACAAGTTCTAGCCCACATCTTGCTAGTTCTAATGACAGTCCTTGTTTTTTTCTTGCTAAATTGTTAATTATAGGTTCCACGTTAGTTCTAGCTCCTATCCCACCAGTTTTAACTTGTATCCCACCAGTTCTAGCCCACATCTTGCTAGTTCTAATGACAGCCCTTGATTTTTTCATGCTAAATTGTTAATTATAGGTTCCACCTTAGTTCTAACTTGTATCCCACCATTTCTAACTTGTATCCCACTAGTTCTAGGCCACATCTTGCTAGTTCTAATGACAGCCCTTGTTTTTTTCATGTAAAATTGTTATTTCTTGGTTCCACGTTAGTTCTAACTTGTATCCCACCAGTTCTAACTTGTATCCCACCAGTTCTAGCCCACATCTTGCTAGTTCTAATGACAGCCCTTGTTTTTTTCATGCTAAATTGTTAATTATAGGTTCCACGTTAGTTCTAACTCCTATCCCACCAGTTCTAACTTGTATCCTACCAGTTCTAGCCCACATCTTGCTAGTTCTAATGACATCTCTTATTTTTTTTCATGCTAAGTTGTTATTTCTTGGTTCCTCGTTAGTTCTAGCTCCTATCCCACCATATCTAACTTGTATCCCACCAGTTCTAGCCCACATCTTGCTAGTTCTAATGACAGCCCTTGTTTTTTTCTTGCAAAATTATTATTTCTTGGTTCCACGTTAGTTCTAACTTGTATCCCACCAGTTCTAACTTGTATCCCACCTGTTCTAGCTCACATCTTGCTAGTTCTAATGACAGCCCTTGTTTTTTTATGCTAAGTTGTTATTTTCTTGTTCCACGTTAGTTCTAACTTGTATCCCACCAGTTCTAACTTGTATCCCGCCAGTTCTAGCCCACATCTTGCTAGTTCTACTGGCATCCCTTGTTTTTTTCATGCTAAATTGTTATTTCTTGGTTCCACATTAGTTCTAATGACAGCCCTTCGTATTTTACCTCCACAGTTTTTATTTTTGCTATCGTGTTATTTCTAGGATAGTCAATGTTTGTTCTAGCTGCTGTGGTTTTAGTTCTTGTTGCTGTCGTGTCTGTTCTATCTTAGCCATTGTCAGATCTATTTGTTCTCGTATAGTGCTAATACTTACATCATTTTTGCTAGTGGAGATGATGCTAGTTCTCATCACATATGAGAATACTTTCAACATTAAACAAAACGTACTAGTTTGTAAATATACAAGCAAAATTGTTAACAACATATCAAGTACTTAGTTAGCAATAGATTCATTACATGTTTTACGGTTGTGACCTTCCACATGACATCGAGAGCATTTAAGTGGCCTGGTGTAAACTGTTCTGTTGTTGATACGCCTGGTCTTATTTCTCCCTTTCCTTTTTGTTGTTAATGGTGGTAGGATCTGTATCTTCTCCCGTGGTACTCTACGCTTCTCGTAATCGGGGATGGGGTAGAGGATTGGCTCGTAGCTCTTTTTAAAAAGCTTCAACCATCATAAACCAGTCACAGAATTGGTAAACATCCCTCTTCATAAACATAATGGTTGCACATGCATGTTTGCAAGGGATACGGGTTACATCCCACGCGCGGCACGTGCATGTTTTATTGTCAAGATCCACTTTACAAGTTTTATGAGATTGTACCTCAAATAATCTTGTATGAGATTGACGCACATCCAATGGACGCCCATTTTCCATGTTCTCTTTGAGGACAAGTTCAGCTTTGGGACAAAGAAATCCATTCCAACTTTCAGCCATTAATCGTCGCTCATTCATGCGAACCATAATCTGTTTACGTATGTGTTCTACGAGTTGTAGTATCCGTAGAAGCCTAGCCTCATGTATCCATTTGTTGAATGACTCTGCAACATTTGATGTAACGTGACCATATCTGGAACATAACAGGGAATTCATCAAAAATACTGAGTTAGAGTTCATGTCAGTTCTAGCTGAGTAGTTCTTAGTGAAAGCTTCTAAATTGTTTTTTCATGAAATAAGAAATGACATAGCTTATAAATTACCTAATTCCGGGGAAAATTGCGTTAGCCCAGTTCTCTGGAGCGTAGTTCATGACAATATTGTAGGCTCGTTCGTCCGCCAGTCTAATGTCCTCCACATAGTCATTCCATTCTGCTTTAGTATATTTGTAACAAGCAGATTGCAAAAGGTTGCCCAAAATCCGAGTATCCTTTGCCTTGAAACTCAAATCCCGCAACTTTTTCCTGAAATTCTCAACTAGATGCAGAACACATCTAGAGTGTATAGCATCCGGAAAATATTCTCTGACTGCTTCTCTGATCCCCTTATCCGCATCAGATATTATAACTAGCTTGTGTGGAGGGTTGTATGGATATGGCCTTTCATAGAGAATAGACCATAAACCTATAAATATTTGTAGTTAACATATTTGAAGTTAGAGTTAACAACGAAATATTTGTAGTCAACATATTTGAAGTTAGAGTTAACAACGAATGAGTTAGAACTAGCATGAATTCTAGTAGAACTAACATTACCCGAACTAACATTGTAAGAACCAATTCCAGTTTACAGTATTTTCCTGATCGCAGATGCAATAGGCTAATGGGAATATCCCCTGATTTCCATCGTATGCAACGGCGCTGAGGAGTATACCTTTGAAACGATCTTTCAGAAAGGTACCATCCAAAAATATAAGTGGTCTACAACCGTTCAAAAACCCATTTATGCAGGCGGCATAACAGATGAATAGCTTTGAAAACCTCCCCTCATTTTGTTCAACATGAATGTAGCTACCTGGGTTTGTCTTCTTAACCTCTTCTACATACCTAGACCATTGAAGATTATATGTTAGGATCAACATAAATGAAATTAGTGTCTATATTATAGATATTATCTTCTTTTACCATCGTAATTGATCGTAGGACTCATGGGCATCACCATATAGTTGCTCTTGTGCTCTTTCTTTACCCCACCATATCTTGCTATAATCGACCCTAAGCCCATACGAAGTTAGTAACTCCTTTTGTACGTCGATAGGTCGTAAATCTGGTCGGACCTTTAACGTGGGTAATACTTGGGTCGCAATGAATTGTCGTGACGCCCTAGATTGACCTGCATTATTGCCAAAATTCCCACATGTGTGGTTGTCCACGAAGGTTTTGATTTCAAGTCTGTTCTCATTTTGTGTTGGAGAGGCAAATAACATCCACGGGCAATTTTGGGCTTCCTTGAACCGACAAAAGACTCGAATACGCTTCGGTTCATTCTTAGCAAACAAGTACTCGAATTTTTTGGCCATGGAATAGTATAGTAAAGCCAATCTTAATTCCTTCGCACTCTCAAACCGTTGTCCCTCACCGGTTAAAGCAGTGTGCCACCAAGCAGGAATCCTCTCTGATCTGCTAATCATGTCATCAATCATCGGAACATTATCTCCAGAAGGATTATCATTGGGGATCCTATCTGAAACACATGTGGGCGTCGACAACGGCGGGCCACCCTCTATGCTTTTTGAGTTCATGCTGCTGGTAACGCTGCAAATTTAAAGAAATGAACAAATGATCATAAACTATACAATAGAAACATCAACAAATAACACAAATAACGATTCTGCAAAAAAACATCAACTGCTTGTGTTATAACTATCGTGGAATCCAATTGAACTAAAAAGATTTCATTTAGAACTAACATGAAAACGTTTAGACCGAACATGAAGTCACTTAGAACTAACATGTTGGACCTAACACAGTTTGAACTAGATCTCATAGCAAATCGATTAGCACTAACAATAAGTCTATTGGAACTAACAACTAATAGATTATACTTAACAATAAATCTATTAGAACCGACATTAACATTAACTGATATCACATGAATTAACGTAGTACCTAGAATTAACAACTTAGCATGAAAAAAAATCGGCTGGGATTAGAACTAGCAAGTTGTGGGCTAGAACTGGCTGTATACAAGCTAGAACTAGTGGGATAGAAGGTAGAACTAACGTAATAGCTAGATTTAACAAGTTTTTATTTAAAACCGATGGCTGGGATTAGAACTAGCAAGTTGTGGGCTAGAACTGGCTGTATACAAGCTAGAACTAGTGGGATAGAATTAGAACTAGCAAGTTGTGGGCTAGAACTGGCTGTATACAAGCTAGAACTAGTGGGATAGAAGGTAGAACTAACGTAATAGCTAGATTTAACAAGTTTTCATTTAAAACCGCTGGCTGGGATTAGAACTAGCAAGTTGTGGGCTAGAACTGGCTGTATACAAGCTAGAACTAGTGTGATAGAAGGTAGAACTAACGTAATAGCTAGATTTAACAAGTTTTCATTTAAAACCGCTGGCTGGGTTTATAACTACAAGTTATGGGCTAGAATTAGCAAATCTATTAGAATCCGAGCTACGAGCAGGAAGTTTTTTAAAGAAATGAAAGGCAAGGAAATGATGACGAACGTAGTGAGAATCAATTTCTATGTGCTTCGTGCGCTCATGAAAGACTGAATTACTAGCAATCTGGATGGCACTTCGATTATCTTATAATCCAATGAACTAACATTAACTGATATTACATGAATATTGTTCTTAGCATCAAAAAAATCATTGCCCCTACATGTCATCTTGAACTTGAACGGCGCTGTGAACTTTTGAAGAATCCTCTTTTTCATTGAAAGTTTGCATGTGAACCTCCTTTAATCCTCTGTTATGACAATGCTCCACCATAGACGACAGATCCCCCTCGTTCTCAATAGGAAATTTGAAGCTTCCATTCGTTTCATCTTTGATATGGAAGATCTAACCTATCTGACACATCAAATTTTAGATCAAGAATGGTGGTTGAAGTGTTAATCTTCATGAATACTGCTCTATCACCCGAAGCTACGATGCAGGTGATGTCCTTTTCAGCCATTATGAAGTAGAGGGAAGAGTAATGGAGAGAATTTTGGTCTGAGGAAAAGTAATGGAGAGAATTTGGGTCTGAGGAAGAGTAATGGAAGAGTAATGGATAACTAGATATTTATTGCTCATGATAGACTGAAAAAGGGGGAAAATTTCCCTCCATTTCTTACAGTGGTTTGCATTTAATGGGATGTGACGAAGAGAGGTGACAAAGCGTCTGGGGAAGAAGGAGAAGGGCAAAGTCGGGTTTTTTTAAAATATAATGCCTCTGGCTGTATACAGCTGACGTGGCGGGCCCTAGAAATATTAGAGGCTGCTTTTTGGGGCTTATACACAAGGGGGAAAATACAAGGGGCCTCGTCACATGGTTTTTCAGCTTTTGGGGCCCCGACACATTTTCCCCAAAATTTTATTGTGTTAGTCAACTAGAACTAAAACCAAAACAAAATTTTATAGTGTTAATCAATTAAATCTCTAACAAAACTAGAACTGGGATAATTGTACAAAATTACCCCTACTTTTATTATTTTTCTATATAAAAATGAGAGTTCTAGTCCCTCAAATTATTCTAAGTTTTAGCTTGAAACTAGGTGGTGAAAACTAGAACTCCTATTTATTTTATTATTTTTTATATTTCTATTTTTCTATACTTTTTTCTTAATATGGTCATCACCATCATTGGACCATGCTGTCAGATCAGCTTTCGTCTCCTCTTAGTCATTTTTGATATTTTTTTATCGAATATTATAATTATATATTTAATTTAAAATTAAATATTGTAACAATCTATTATTTATTAAAGAATAAAATTGAGAGATGAGGAAAAGTGGTCTTAGGGAGCAAAAAATGAAGGAAATTTTGAAAAAGATTTTTTTAGACTTGTACTATAATAATAATTAAACAATAAAAAAGCTACAACATATATGATTATAATAACCGTCAATATCTTATAGTCAAAAGTTATATTTAATAGCAAACAACATTCCCGTAAACAATTATCAATCAATAATAGTAAGTTTAAAATACATAAATAGTCTTTATATTCTTAAAATACATAAATATATACTTCATGATTATAAAAATTTATCTCACGTTACTTTATTGAAATATACCGCTTCATAAAATTGTTCCTATTTATCCCACTAAAATATCCCACTAGCAAAAAAATGTTCTGCTTTAACAATTATCTCACTTCCCATGAAAATGTCCCAATTAACTAACATTAGAAAAAATGTATAAGTATATTGAATTGTATGTGTTTGACTTAAATGGGAAACTATCCTTAATAGTTTTGTTTACGTTGAATCTTTCTTTCTTTCTTTTTTTAAAGGTGAAGATTGAGCCTAGCTTTCATCAACATTATTAGATACTAAATCTATTTTATGAGTATTAGTTTTAAATCTAAACCGAAATAAGTTTGTGTTTCCTTTTGATTGGACTTAAAAGACCTTCATAACAATTTGTTCTGTTAGCTAATTGTAAATATCTTTAGTACATTTCTCGTCAATTATACTTGTTAGAGTGTAAAATCAAACATTTTAATGGAAGATACTTATATATTAAACCTACATATTTTTTTAACTAGGTTTTATACATGTGCAATGCACGTGGTTAAATATCATGATTAAGTATTTTTAGCTTGTTTTATAACTAAAATTTGTTTCTCAGTTTTACTTTAATAGTTTATGCTCACTTTAGTCTCTAAACTTTAATATTACGATTAGTTATTTTCTTTAATGTTTGTTTAAACAGGCTACACCCAATTTAAATTTTTATGTTAATATTAAAATTGATAGAAAAAAATATAATTTGAAGTTAATTTAAGTTTTTCATATTATTTTGACTGACATAAAATCAATCTTTACTTTAGAAAATACAATGTTGTATAAGAAAAAAATATTGAAATAGTATTATACAAAGAAGGTGAATATTTAAAACCAATAAGGCAAAATAATTGCTTAAAAGTATACTAAAATATACAAAAGAGATTATAAATTTTGTTCTTAATCATTGACAACTTTCATAAAAAATTATAAATTAAAGATTAATGCTAATTCTAGTATACTTTCATATGATAAAAACATATGCACAAGCATATAAAAGTGCTAAAAAAGCTCCATTCTAAAGATTTCTAAATTCACACAAAATATTTAAACTATTCTATAAAATATTCACAAAATATTATCTTTTACTCTTTCTGTTTTTTTACTGAGCTAATATCAATTCTTCCTCACTTTTATCTTTTTCTCTGGCAATTCAATAGTAGTATCTTCATCATCTACTCAATTGTGGCATCGGGCTAGAGTTATACTTTTTATGCTGTTATCGTTCCTAGGCTCGTTAATATTTTATCTTATTGTTTAACTTCACAAAGAAGTTCAATGTATTTCCGATATTCAACACAAAATCTTGAAATACAGACTTTGATTTTTTTTATTTCAATGAGAATAAATATTAATTAAATATATATAAAATTCTTCGTGTTCGTAATTTATTACTTAAATATGATTAAGAGTTACCTCTTTTTTTCTATAATAAATTCTTCTAATATGTACCTAACAAGAGTTTCTGTTACATAAATAATATTATATTTGCTCTATCCATGTTATTTTTCACAAAGATCTAAACTAAATAGCTATATTTTTATTGCTAATTTACCTTAGATTATAATATTAATATTTAATTTATTTAGTATTTTAAGAAAAAAGTATAAAATTTATGAATGCTTACTAATTTTTCTTATATCTTCCATAGAGAATTCTTCTTTGATTAGGATAAAGTTATTAAATTAATCTTCAATGTAGCTCAGTTGGTGCTTTTTTAATAAACATGTCTTATGTTAATGCCAATTCAAATAATTCATGGGCATTTTCTAAATTTTAAATTTATTTCCGTCACTTTCTCATTTGCAATGGAAATAGTTTGATTCTTTTGAATGATATCTCTGAACATTCTGATAGTTTCTCCATACGTAATTCATTGTGTTCTTTGAATGCTAAGCTATTATATTCTAGTATTTTTATCATTTTTATGGATTTAAATATCTATTAATTAATATTACTAATGTGTTTTGCTGCTCCAACTCATTAGTAAAATTTTATGTAGTTGTTTTAATTTTATATGGTGATGATAATTTTTAAGCTATAATATTTTTTAAATTTTTATTTCTCTAACCGGATATTTTTAATCAATTCTTATTACTTTTATTTATGAGTGTCAACTTAGACTGTCTTTAGATGCTGAAAAGGGATAGTAAACCACAAATTAGAAATTAAATATATATATTTTAATAAAAGAATATCTAACAATTATACTTTTCTTTGCCAAGTTTTAAAATTTTAGCCTTTTTTGTTGTTTGGAACTTTGAAGGTATGATTTGTAATTTTTAAAACTTTGAGAGTATTTTTAAAAATTACTTTTAAGTTTGGTAGTTGTAACTTCTATGTTTTATGTATCGGTGGTAATTTTTAAATGTCACGATATTTCTTACATTTCTATAACTTTGAGGCTATTTTTTGCAATTGTTAAAACTATAGATTAATTTAAAAAAAATTAAATTTTAGCGGTCTACCAATAGTTTTCAGATTTGATATGTATTGGTTATAAATTTTAAAATTTTAGAATTTTTTATATT